GTGGCGAGAACGGGTTCGAATGCGTTCGCTACGGCGAACAGAATGTACTCCGTCATCAAAGCAAGATTCCTCTCTTGGGTCAGGTGAGGGTTCCTTTTCAATGTCGAGACTTGATGGCGTATTGAGACCAGTACTACTCGATACATCCATAGTAGCAGAATCGGGGTGGGATTCGTCTTCAATAACTGAGACCTTCCGAGGTCTTCCTCGTCGTCGGATGGGGTTAATAGGGTCAGAAGGCACGTTGCCTTCATCTTCCACGAAGGGCGTCAACGCTGACACATGATACTTTCCTAATATCTTCGTAGGATCATCAAGAGACGATATCGTATAGGTAGTCGCAGAAACACGATTGGAAATACGGTAAGGACCGTCACGCCGAGGGGCCAATTTTGCGGAAAATCCACGAGCACTGTTACTAAGAACGTGTGTATCCACCAACACTTTGTCTCCTGGGTTAAACGGGTTCATATCACGACGGTGCAAGTTCGCGTATTTCTCGTTGCCACTTTGTCGCGCGTCCGAATTCTCTCGCGCTTTTTCTAATACGTCGGCAATAAGTAACAACTTCGGGGTTACTTCCGCGATAAAGTTCTCGTTTTCGAGCACTGACCGAAGATCACGTCCAACAATCCCGGGCGACCGTAACTCACGACCAAAAGTCAAGTAGGCAGGGCTGTATCCGGTAGCCGCGTGAATCGCACTATTCATGGCGAACCTAATTGAAGGAAGCGCTTCTTTCCATCGGGTATGGTACTTTCCCACAAAGATAGAAAGTTGAGTATTAAGGTCTTTGTGTCTTCTTTCCACGGGATTCGACTCGGGATGGTAAACCGGTATCAAACTTTGTTTTAATCCCAAACAATGGGTGACGCACTGCATAATTTCGCTGACAAATTGCGTACCATTATCGCTTATAACTTTTCTCGGGGTTCCGTAACGTAACACTACTTCGTTCACCAAACAATCGGCACACGCGTTAGCCGTTGCTCGCACCAAGGCAAACAGTTCAAACCATCGGGTCGACACGTCTTCTACCGTAAAAATCCATTGTTCGCCAGTTTCAGTTGTCGGAAAAGGACCAACCAAATCTATCGCAATCGTTTCAAACCTCTGGGCCATTACAGGCGTCTGTAGTAATTCTGCTGGTTTAACATGATCGGGTTTATATCGCTGACATTCCGGGCATTTTAGAATGTACTTTCTTATGTCACGATGTACCGAGGGCCAATAATACGTCTGGGAAATCCTTTTATAGGTCTTGTCGATTCCGTGATGTCCTGCTAAGGGTGAATTTACTTAATTCGGGGTCTTCTAACTGCTCATTTCTTGTTTCTTTGGCGGACCTTTTTGGTAACATAACGCTAACCAGATTAAGATCACAGGTATNACCTTTATTTTATATTACTGTATTTACACTATTAATTAAGTATGTTCAACAATTGTGTCTGCAACTCATTTAACTTCTTCTCCACCTGTTCCACTCACTTTCTACCTTCCACCACCGACCTACTGCTGTTTTCACGACTTTCTTCAGGTCCTGCAATTCTTTCTCTTTCCGCTTTATTTATTCCAAACATGAAGCGTCCTTCATGTCATGTTCCTTTATTTCACCTTCCCGTTTTCGCATCTCGCATTAGTCTTCAGTGCTTCTCCACATGGTCTACAAGCTTTGAAGAATATAATGGACCGCCCGGCACTCTTCTGTTGTACGTCCGCTTCTTAGGCTTCATACTTATGGATTTACTGCCCCCTGCCGTCGTTCGCGATGTACTAGCCACAGGCACTGCTAACCTTTCCGTGGCTACATCTATGCATGGGTTTCCTTCACCGACCATTCTGTTTTGCTCGCCAACTGATCGTTGTGGAAGAACTCCTCTAGCATCGCTGACAGCTCCGACTCGTCCCAGATAACTGATACATCATCCCCATGACACTGAGCCACTTCAGCCATTTAGTTAATCGCTTCCTCCATACTTCTCTTATTTCTTAAATATCTTCTTCCCCTCTCTCTCTTAATACCATCACCCCTTTTCCATACTCTCTCACTCCTTCTGAAAAGCATGAACTTCACGAGGAAAATTCAAACTTAAATGGGCTACATCACCATCTAACGATAATTCCAGAAGGTCTAACAACTTCTGGTACAGTTGACAAAAGGGGTGAATTTTAACTTCTTTGGCTGAAGAATGATTTAGAAAGACGTTCTGAATGCCAAAAAGTGGCATGAAGTTGATGGACAGGTCATCGACTTGCAGTGTCCCTCCTTTATTACTACTAATGGTAATTGCAGTTTTTATTGAAACAAATAGAATACCATTTCGGAATGTTTTTATTCAGTATTACTTATTTTTAGTTTCACTCTTATGTTAAACGATTAATTATTTATCATCATTATCATCTTCAATTATTTCAGAAAACGCATACGCTTTGCAAGAATCGATTTTCCTGCCGTCGACGTTATGATAAGAGTCGAAGCATTCTTGACACATAAGCATATGTTCGTTAGGTAATCTGTCACATTCCGTGCAAACAACTTGTGCGTTATTGGTACCGCAAATGGCACATTTCCTCGAGTATTGCCGGTTCGTTGTCATAACGTAGGGATAGTCATATGGACAAAGGCAGTCGTCTTTCATGAGCAAACGAGCGTCGGTGAAGACCACTAGGTGTTCACAGTTGCCTTGGTGCACATACACATATGGATAACCGATGCGAGGTTTTAAATCCTTGACGAATGTCTGAAACAATTCAATAAATAACTACCTACGTAAATAAATACAGGTCACGATCATTATATTGTCTGTAGTCAATGTCTATGGCGTGCTGACGAGAACGAAATCGTGGCCCACGTCTGAGAGTTTCAACAGATCACAATCAATGGTTCTTAACCGGTGCTCCCTGAAAGCACCCGTACAAATGATTAAAAATATTAAACCATTGACGAGTCGACGACGCATCAATATTAAAGATTCGGTACAACATTTGTTAAACATATTCTGTAGCATTAAGAAGAAGGTACTTTACGTTACGGTATCAATTTTAACACTGGAACCACTTGGATGCGATTGTCGACATTGTAACCACAAAAATTCCAGTAAAACAATGTAATTGGTACAACAATTTCAAAATATAAAAATAAAATAAGTACAAAAAGTACTTTTAGTTTTGAATAATTTTATACGTGTTTTATTTATAGAACAAGCTTATTAGCCAAAGGGTTGGTGGTCCTTGGCAAGACAAATGGTCCTTCGTAGGAGGTTAAGAACCACTGGTCTACATAGATAATACGAATTCATTTTTCATAGGTTGGTAGGACACCTTCTTAGGCATGAAGGTCTAGTCAGAGACATATTAGAGGCAGAAACAGGAGTTAGGAGGGGTAGAGGTAGACCTAGATTAGATTACTCTTCGCAAATAGTTAAGGATGTGTGTTGTTCTAGGTTTAGGGAAATGCGAAGTTTAGCTCAGGATAGGAAAGAGTGGAGGTACGTGTCCAACCAGTCTTAGGACTGATGACCTTATGATGATGATGATGAGGTCGTAGATGCATGTACAAATTAACAAAGGCATTTTATGATATATATTATACTGGGAAACAAAAAATGGGGTCTGTAGAAGAAAGAATTTCCAGGAAGACTGCATCGTGCTGGCTGGTGTATTACATAACTTAAAAAAAAAAGAAAGTGGAAAACGGTTTTTCAGTTAGTTATGTGTAATACCAAATCGACATCTTACAACCAATAGTAGCGATGACGTCGTAAAAATACATGTATGCTAGAGCATTATTAGTTTTCGTTTGCGCTTTGTATTTAACTCATTTTTTCTTGGCCATTCCTGTTAATCAAAGTGTCTAGTTGTCATTTTCTGCTGCAATATTTTAACATATTTTGATACAAAAAAATACTTGTGGAAAAGCACGTTTCAAGTAATGCATGCGCCTTCATTTCTTGTCAATATTAGTGTATCTCAATTATAATTTTGATGAATGTTCTATAAAACAAACAGTATCCAGTGTTTTCTCGGTAAATAAGCATGGAATATTTATCTGCATTCCATAAGTTTTTATGAGTCTACAATTTTCTCATTTAACTTTCTCTTAAATTGCAAAAAAAAAAAACGTTTTTCCAGTTTGTTTAATTTTTAAATTATGATGCACTAGCTAGCACAATGCCACCTTCCCTGGAATGTTTCATCCACACGACCCCATTTGTATTTTCAGGACACACGTAACTGTTTCGAGTTATTGTAGACGAGCATTTCGCGAGTATCATGTCGTGTGTGGTATCGAACAATAAGTAGCTAGATGTTGCTACATATATGTGCAGAAAACATGAAAACACGGCATTGTCTAAATAATTAAAATTATAGAGACGTTCCAAGTTAAAACATTGAACATGACTCATAGCAATATACCGGAAATATATTTTTAAATTTCCTTACGCCATCCATATCTGCTGTCTTCAGATCCTTTATGTTCTTTTCCTTCGCCCATTCTCTTATAACTTCTGAATAATCAATCGACCCTGTTGCTCTTAGGTCATTGTAGAAAACGTTTTCAATGAAGAGGAAGTTTGAAGGGTACAGGACCTAAAAATACAAGTAAAATATACTCTTTGTGAAATTTCTTGCAACAGTGATTCGGCATTTTTGCTAAAGGAGTTATATTTCACATTACCAACACAAAAATTAAGAAAGTTCACATAGGAAATAAAAGGGTACACGCATTTAAGTAAAAAAAATAAGAAAAATTTAGAAAAATTGGCGAGAGATGTTAGAGTAGGGTACTGTTTGTCGTTGCGTAGAAAATTATCCTACTTGAGGCCCACCAAATACCACGAAAAGTGTAATAATTAATTTTGTCTAAAGATAATGTAGACCCTAATGAGATCATCTCAAATGTAAATAATTACAATTTTGATCCTGAGTGGTTCATAATAGTAGCAGTAGGGAAGGAAAAAGAGTTCATATATAATAATGTCAGATTTTATGCAAAGATGCATCCGGACATGAGAATATGGCAGATAATAACAGAATCTAACATAGCCAATCAAATTTTCCCTTTTATTAAACAACAATCAATGACAATGTCTGAGGATCAATTACTAAGAGCCATATTTAGGATGACCTTTCGATTAGCCGAAGAAAACGAAGACTTTTCCTTTATTACTTTTGATTTCTCTGCATGGTGTTATGTCATCACGTGTTTCGACAATTAGATAACATATTCGGATTCGATAATGTATTTACTTTTACACATTTATTTCATCTATGCTGTATATTAGTATTTCAAGACAGATATGCTCCTCCCAGACAAAGAAGTGATGGTCTTCCTGAAGAAGGTCCTAGATGTTGGTGGATGCCGGAGGAGTGGCAGGAAGGTTTAAGGCAAAAAGCATGGACATTAGTTACTATACTTCTGATTTTAATTGTTTGTCAAGATTTCGGTGCAGTGGCTACTTTATTGGGCCAAGGAGACAATCAAGTCATACTATTGAGGATACCACACGCAGAACACCTACAAAACATGAATCAGACAGAAGATGAATATGTGAATGTTTTCATTCAAGAATTAGTTAAGATAACGACAAGAGCAGGGATTCCTATAAATGATTAGGAATCTTGGAGTTCCAAAATTTTATTTGAATATTTTAGGAAATACTACTTGAAGGGTGTGCCTGTTAGTGCTGCTCTAAAAAGAATATCTAGACTTGCTAGTGAGCCAAACCAATCTATCCCGTCATTAAATAGTGATTTATCTGGAATGTCTGCAGCATATGAGGATGACATATTATTATTGTGCTACATTTGAAATTTGCCATAAATTGAGAAGAAAGTACGGTTGGCTAAGAGATAAATCTCTGGAACATAATGTAGCTATACTATCTGTTACCAGAGTTTTGGGAGGACCCCCCATAACCATTTATAGCAATTATGCAACCAGGGCATCTCAAGATCCTCTGACAGACAACATAAGTTTTATTATGAAGGGGAAGGCTTTATCAAGTGCTATCATTGGAGTATCACACTTGTGCAGAAGTTCTGTTAACGTAGTGAACTTCATTATTGTTCATTTGTCGTTCCTAATTGTTGTTATCTATGCATTTAAGGATTGTTGACAGAGAGAGTGGTTGTCAAGACTAAATACACATAGGAGCAATAGCCGAACCAAATAAGTCTGAAAAGCATCATCACTAATAAAGGAAAGACGTACGCTGTGCGATGAGCGACCACGCATCAATTTTAGTGTATTGTTGTCTAAGGGGCAAAAAAGCATGGTTCGCAAGGTACATTAAGTAAGTGATATAGTTGTTACATCTATGCTTAGTCTTCTTGGTGGTTACTTAGTGTAATTTTTTGTTGATAGATGGTGGGTAAAAGTACTTCTCCCTTACGGGGAACTACCGTTACATTAATGAGGGCATAAATGCAGCAATTCTTAGCGACGTTCAGCAACTGCCAACAAGACATGACGGTGGCTCATTGGTTCAGGTTTATTCGTCACTGATATATTTTTTGAAGTGAAACTTCTTTGGGCTTGAAAGTAAAATCTCAAGGCCATGAAACCTCACGTTTTACAACGTTTCCTCTCGCGAAGCGATAGGCTAAGAGAATAGAAAGGCGCGCATGCGCATATCGGTATAACAGTCAGCTGTTACAGTCAAACCTGGATAAATGAGAACTGAGTAAGCGAGAAAACTCTATTAATGAGAGTATTTGCCAGGTCCCGTCATTTTGCCCTTCTAAAGCCTCTATAAGTGAAAAACATAAAACCTGTATAAGTGAGTGTCGTTTTTCATGCGTGAACCTCTTTAAGTAAGATTGCTACTTGCCTATACCTCTACAAGCGACAGTTTACTTTTGTTATTTTATGACTCGTTCTTAAATTTCAAGAGGCTCTTATTTCATTCGAATGACCAAATGTGCGTCTGTTGTTGTTTTCTATAGTTCTAGGAACTAACGTTGTATTTGAATGACAGAGTAAGTCTTTATTACTTTATTATAGCCAAATGNCCCCTAAAAACATTTTGGTTTATAATGTGTCCATAGTAGGGTTCATTCCCGGGAATTCTCGATTCGAGAATTCCCGGGAAATCGTTGGGCTTTGTTCCCGGGAAATGAAGCTCGAGAAAAGTCGAGAACTCGAGAAATCATGTACCTATATAGAAATTAAATCGCTGTTTGTTGTATTGCGTGGCGGCGGGGGCCAAAATGCAGCGGCACCCTTTGATCTCGCTGCAAGCGCTCTGCGGCGTCGTTTTTACGCGTTCATTCGTGTTTTGACTCTAGTCAAGTATAATTTACGTAGTGAGTGTTTCACAGATTACGTGATAAATTGAAATCAAACAGGTAAGTCTTTTCACTTTTATTGACATATCATGGCATTATTATTCATATAATTTTTATCAATAATATAATCTAAATATGATCTTAAATTTTACTAGGTACGAGTACCTATCTATATTGCCAACTGTGTTGTGTGTGTATCACATATTACTCCAAGGGCTTATTATTAATTTGAATTGCGTTATAGATTTTACCGAAACGTCACTATAACAGTAAAGATGGAAGCATCAAAAGCATGGAAATATTTCAAAAAAAATAAGGAATCTGCAAATGCGCAATGCCTAAAGTGCCCAAAAACGATTGCTTGCAAAGGTTCAAATACTAGCGGGTTGGTGAGACATTTAGCACATGTGCATAAAATCAATATTACTAAATGCGGGACCCAAGAAGAATCCGAATCTGAAGCATCTACAAGTTCAGGTGTGAGTGCACCGAAAAAAAGCAGGCCTGGGTATGAAAGTATGCAGCAACAGAAACTAAACTTCAAAACTCCACCGATACAATCATTGGGTGAAATATTGGCGAGGCTGGCTGCAAAAGACGGCTTCACCATAAATGGAATCACAAAAAGTGAATTCATTCGTGATTCACTTTCTGCTAAAGGATATAAATTGCCCATGTGTGTTAATGATGTTATGAATCTAATACTAAAATACTATGAGGATAAGGAAAAAGAAATGATAAAAGAACTTTCAGGTATTTGTTCTTCAGGTAACCGGCTAAGTGTGAGTATTGACGAGTGGACAAGCATACGCAACAAACGCTATTTTAGTGTTATTTGTCATACCACAGAAACAACACATTATAATTTGGGGTTAGTTTATATACCCGGTAAATGTGGGGCCGTTGAAGTAAGACAAATAGTGGAGGAACGCTTAAAACATTTTGGAGTGAAATTTGAGAGTGATATTGTTGCCGTAACAAGCGATGGGCCAAACGTAATGAAACAATTTGGCAGAGAAAGCCCCTGTGAAATGGTTCTATGTGTAAATCATGCCATCCATTTAGCGATTCTCGACACATTTTGCAAAAAACAGTCAGAAGTTACAGCTGCTAGGAATGCCTTGCATAACGATAACGAACACAGCAGCTCCGATGAAACCAGCAGCACTGATAACGATGATGAATCTTGTATATCTAATGAAGAACCTAGACCGCAAATAATTGATGACATAAACAATGTAATTACTGAGACCCGATCGATTATAAGATTTTTCAGAAAGAGTCCTCTAAAATCAATCACACTGCAGAAACATGTAGTAGCCGAATTCGGAGTAGAACTAGTTTTGTTACTCGATGTCAGAACTAGATGGAATTCAATGCTGACAATGATTGAACGTTTCTTGAAATTAAAAAATGCAATCAAAAAGGCACTTATAGATTTAGATAGCTCACAAAAATGGAATGAAGATAATATTACTGTGCTACAAAAACTGCAGAAGATATTAACACCAACAAAACTTGCAGTAGAGGCGTTGAGTAGGCAAGATGCCAATTTATTGACCGCAGAGGCTATAATAGACGTATTGCTAAAAAAATTAGAAAGTATCAATGATCCTTTGGCCCTCAAATTAGTAGATTCACTTAAGTTGAAAATATCAGAGCGCCGTAATACGTCTCTAATATCGCTGCTAAAATACTTGAACAGTCCTGACAATTTCATGCACAATAAAAGTAACTACTTCATTGATAACAATAAAACATTTTTGATCGGATACGCTGAAAAAGAATATAATCGTTTATACCCTGCCATCACAACTTTGGCCGAAAATGAGTCGGGAGTGATAGAAGAAGTAAGCCCATCAGAACTTGAACCCGAAAGCTTCGAAATTCAATTAGAAAAAGCAATTAAAGGCATTTCAACAAATGAGGAGGCAAGTGTAGTGGCACTGTCAAAATCTATAGTAAAGAAAGAGTTCTTACTTTTTGAACAGACTGGGAAGAGGTCACCAAATTTAGAATCGATGTACAAAGCATTGCTTTCAGTTAAGCCTACTTCAACTGAAAATGAAAGAGTGTTTTCTATTTCAGGAAATATAGTTAATAAAATAAGAAATCGGCTGTCTGATAAAGCTATAAATGCATTAGTTTTTCTAAAGGCATATTTCATCAGACAGAGTAAGCTGACCTAAGTGTTATGTATTTGTCTGTCTGTTGTTCAGCTCCTCAGCGTGAGATGTTCCATTGATCTTGCAAAGTTTTCATTTGTTTTTATTGTGATTAACATGCCATAAATGGTGCTGTGATTGTAATTTAATTATAATTTAAGATATTAACGTTTTCTTTCATGTTGATTTTTTGTTTAGTTTAATAGAAGCTACTTTTGTTTATAAGTTCTAAATAACCGGCCAAAAATGGTGCTGTCATTATAATTATGAGTCTGAATAATATTATTTCTGTATTTTTTTTAAAAAGTTAATTAGCTTATTCATAAGATTAATGTTTTTGAATATAATCAATAAAAGTT